ATTATTTTTGTAAATACAGGGTCCAAATGATCACTGGAGAGGTAAGAGACTGCCACCGTGAATTTGCCAACAAATCACATGAAAATAATCATGTCCTGCCTTTGTCAGGACAGCTAGCCTAGTCAGTAAGAAAAAAAATCAGTGGGGAAATTCAGACTTTGAATGCACCTGTACAGTGACCTATCTGGTCTTACTTAAGCAAGCTATGGAAATAGAGTCTAGGTAAAATTACTGTAAGTTAGGTTCACAACTGGCTAAAATCCAACTCAGTAGTAGGTACCAAAAGTTAGAAAGGGGGAGGGCTGATCAAGTAAGGTCTGTGCTGTTTAGTACTTTTTAGAAAGTAATTTGAATTCAGGAGTAGATACTTTTATTAAACATGATAAAATACACCCTAGGAGAGCTAGCAGCACTTCTGAGGACAGACTGAAATTCCAAGTAGTCTTAATTAGCTGGAAAAATTATCTAAAATCAATCAGGAACAATTCATCATGGATTAGTTAAAGGTCAAAACAGAAGAGAAAGGGAAAAAATACTAGAATGGTGAACAACCACCTGTCTAGGTTGCAGTTTTGCAGGGGAAATACCATTCCATCGAGTATTGGTAAGGTCCCTCCTAGGTCCAGTTACAGCATTTAACAGACTTCCAATCTGCAGGCGCAGAGTTCTCACTGTTACCTGCTCTGGTTTGTCAGTCTTTTTCATACATGTGAACTAACATCACCAATCCTGAGGGCATGACATGCATAAGCTGCCAGCCGTAAACACTACATGTCACTCATGTCCAGTCCTAGAGCTCCCAGTAGAGCTCTCCTATTGCAGAAAATTGTAGGTTTGGCTTAATTTGTAGTGTCAACATGACAAAAAATATTCAGCTGGTGAAGTAGGTGTAGTGGAAATCTTATGAATAAAACTGTAGCTAAATGAGGATATGGCCTCAGAATGGTGTTACTGCTCTCCTTAAAACATGCTTGGCATGAACAAATACAATGTTTTAGATTACTTTTGCCACAAGCAGGGGTGTTTCATATCCGCACATCCAATCCAGATGCCAGTTACAGCCCCTAGCTCTGTACAGCTAATTAGTTAATTAATGCAAGAATTACACCAGCCTGCCTGAAATGGAATGGCATATAGTGGATTTAAACAGCAGCAGCAGCAACAAGGTGCCGTTCTGATAGCTGCTTGGTAGGCTGGGATTCTGACATGGGACCCAGAGGGCTATGTGGGCACCATGTCTTGTTTGAATGAACAGTTTTAACACTATCATCAACCTGGAAGAAAGAGGATCCAGCAAAACTGGTTATGACTTCAGAGTGTGATTGAAGAATGCGCTTTCCAAGGGGCTGTGAGAGGCTGGGCAGACTGATTGCCATTTTAACATGCTTTTGATAGGGATGGTCACAAGCTCAGCTATCTCCTGATGCACTTTTAACATCTGTGGCTGTGCTGTTTAAAGAAAGGAAGGAGAAAGCAGAACTAGGGACTCTAGTGGTAGGACAAGGGGTAATGGGTTTAAACTTAACCAGGAGAAGTTCAGGTTAGATATAAGGAAGAAGTTCTTCACAGTGAGGGTGGTGAGGCACTGGAATAGGTTGCCCAAGGAAGTTGTGAATGCTCCAACCCTGGAGGTGTTCAAGGCCAGGTTGGACAGAGCCTTGGGCGACATAGTTTAGTGTGTGGTGTCCCTGCTCATGGCAGGGGGGTTGGAACTAGATGATCTTAAGGTCCTTTCCAACCCTAACTATTCTATGATTCTATGAACTTCGCTCGTCTCCAGCTGTGGAGGCAGTGATGGCACCAAGCCAGGGGCTGAGGTGGGAGAAAAGATGGTGAAAACCATCTTGGAGGTCTGCTGCCCTTCCCTAGATCCTGTCCCAGGCTTAGAGGACTCTCTGGGCAAAAGACTTCTGCCTCCTGGGCTGGTCTGTGTTGAAAACTCTTGCATTCTCTTCATACTTTGCAGGTACATGTCCACTTTATGGGTGAGAAAGTGGCCAACAGTAGGCTTGCAGTAACAGTGTGTAGTTACAGGTCTTCCGTGATGAGGAGTCCTTAACTGTGCTCCTTTTCTAAGGGAAGAAAGTCTTGCCACCATGTGTTTTAACAAACTCAGCAGCACATTAATAAGCGTACATTGCCTCGAAGACTTTCTTTCTTCCTTTTTTAAGAAAATAAGCATGAATGCCTTACTGGATTGTCACATGAGTCTGACAGTGATATTTTCCTTTCTAGTTAAGACTGGGTGGAAGTTCCTGTAAGATGGAAAGCAGAGGGTCAGTCCTGATTGTGCGCAAATCAGATAACAACTGGCCTTGAAAACGTCATACTCATGTCTGTCTTCCCAGTGTAATGGTTCCTTAGGAAACACGAAGCTGCTGATCCCAAATAAGCATGTAATGCATTGCATGGCTGTGAGCAGGATTTTAGTTTGGCATGTCCCTCTTGGAGGAGGTGGTGCTGATGCGGGCTGACAGGAAGAACGGTAACAGGAAGAACCTGGAGTTTTCTTCTGTTATCAGGCCAACCCCAGCATGTCCCTGCTGCTTATCAGCTCTGGCAGAGCTGGGCCCTGCCACGATGAGCCTCCATACATCACGCTTCTGGTGCTATAGGGGCCAAGCCTGCTGCCTTCCGTTCACACATAAAGAAGGGCTGCGACACATGCCTTTGCATGTGAAGAGAGACAATGCTGGACCTCATTATTCTGAGCCTCCATTTCTTGATCTGCTTTCTCATCTTCATTGCCATCTGGCGTGGACCTAAGGTATGGTGTGGCTTTTTGTGGCTCTGCACTCCTCTGCGCCAGGATTCCCGCATGCGTGATTTCCCTTCGGTCTCTATATACAAAGACTTCTTCTAACCTGATTTTCTGAGGAAGTGAGGGCAGTATGGCTGTACTGGGAATTCAGAGGGAACTAGAACACAGTAGATATTGTAAGCAAATTTAATAGGAAGGCAGGTTTTGTGACAAAAGTGCTTATGTCCTCTGCTGGGAGAGGCTATTAGGCATTTGAAATATGTAAAAGGAGCAAGAGAAAGGCAGACACATTTGCTAAAGAGGCCAGGTTGAATAGAACTTATAAATACACAATTTTTTTCCCCTTTTGCAGATGGAATATTTTATCAACTTGCATCAGTTTTGTATTTCTAGTAGTGTATCTAGTAGCCATAGTATTATTTAAAGAGTATTAGATCTACATGTAAATGCTACCCATTGCATAACCAAACTATACAGTATATTACGTTTGCTGTCCTTATATTTGTTTGCATGTAGGTTTCAAAGGGAGGTGGCAATTAAAGGGCAGAGTAAATGAATAGTGATTGAGAATTTATCTTGACTCAGCCTCAGGTATCAGGTTTTCAGCAGCTGATTTTCCTAGTCCCAGTTCCATTAGTGAACACTTTGGCCAAGCATTATCACCAAATTCCCATGCTTTGCTTCATGTGCATGTTTGATAGTCTTTTCTAAAACTTCTGCTCCTTTCATCCCATGTGTTAAATGCTTTGGGGTTTTCTCTGTGACTGCGACACCCATTCTACATGTAGAAATCCAAACGTGAACTGCTTTAGAAGTGGCTTTTTTAATTTTTTCTGTTTCAAGGATGTGGATTTGCACAGCTCAAGCACAGGAACAGCTGAAGTGGAGGTAGAGGGTCTTATATTAATTGGCAAAGAAAATGACATAAAGAAGTCTCGAAGAGTAACAGCCAAAGTCAGTGGCAGAGAAGTTGTTGTTTTCTACCATGAAGGGAAATTTTATGCTATGGACTCCCGCTGCTACCGTAAGATATTTACACATATGATCAAAATGTTGCAACAATTAAGCATAAAACCTGCTGCGTAAATTAATAATGTTTTCCACCATGTTTCAGATGAAGGAGGCCCTTTATGCCTTGGAGAAATAGAGGTACGCAAGCAAAATAAAAATAATGTGTAATGGCGTAGAGCAATGTAAAAAATCTATCACATTGTATTTTAATACTCTTATCTGAATATGTCTTAAAAAGAAATAGGTAAGCAGTCAGCCATGCAACGAATTCAGGAAACACATCTTTTGTCCTAGAGATTCTTCCAGGAGAAGAATAGGAAGCCAGTGACTTGCTATTTTTATTTCTTGTTCTTGCAGGATATCAATGGTCAAGCATGTATTGTTTGTCCTTGGCATAAGTATAAAATTACTTTGGAAACAGGAGAAGGATTATATGAAGGAATAAACCCTTTGGAGCCATCACCAACACCACAATGGCAATCAAAAGGAGTCAAACAAAGGATTCATAAGGTCACAATAAATAAAGGAAAAGTTTATGTGAGTCCTCCAGATTTCTCTGTAAGCTTTGACTCTGATTATTTTGCTGAAAAGTACAAAAATGGTGGTGAATTAGCTATAAAAAAAATAAGCAACTCACATGCAGCAGAGTAATCATGGCCAGAAAGCAGAATCCTGGTGATTGCTCTAACGAAGAACCATTATCATGAAATAAAAGTGTACTGCAGCTGTGAAGATTGCCTCCAGATTCTAGTGTTAATGCTAGTGTTAATGTTATGCTAAGGCATTGAAATGCATAAAATTGAGCATGGTAAGATGTTCTGCATTGTCAGAAATGTGACTGATCTTGTGCCAATGATTTTTTTTACACTTGCATGTCAAAAAGACTTGACAGCAGTGCTTCATAATAGTTGATATTTTAGAAGTCCTATTTTGCTAGAATTGTTTTAATTTTTAAAAGTGAATGTAGTATAATACTGCTTATAAAACATTACATAGTTTAAGAAAATAGTCAGGTGTAAAGGTTATAGTTATATACTTAACAGTTTATACTTCTAATGCCTTTGGTGTAAATGATGTGAAAATTTATAACTTTTTAGATACACAAAAAATTTCAGGGTGTTTATTAAGTGCCACAAAGAGAAGTACAAAGCTTAAGCATATTTTAGTGAGCATTTTAATGCCTCTTTCTGTATTACTACTGTGAGTCTGTAGAAGTATGTATATTCCTTTGCCTCATTGAACTCCTTTTGTCAGTTCATTAAATAATGTGACAAGCATTTGTCATGTGTAGCTTGTTCTTCCTGATTCTGCTAGATAAGGAAGAAGCTCTTGGGGATAAAAACCTGATACGTGATGTCATGACTCTTGCTTGTTTTGTTGTTGGTTTGTTTTGGTTTTTTTTGTCTATTGAAAATACATTTTTATACATACATACAGTTTGAAAAAGTGTGCTTTCTGTTTAGAGCCAAAAGTTAGGTTTCTTTGTGTGATCACTGCATAATATCAGACTGGCCCCAAAAGCCCCTCCAAGAAGGTTTCCCTTCTGGATGCGGGGCACCCTGGGCTCTGGCACACAGTGGCTTCCCCTGCCTGCAATTCCTTGGGATGTATTTTTGGTGATTTGTTGACTCTTTGCAAAGTTCAGTCATAATCAGGTTCAGTTTGAAGTTGTCTTGTCTTCCTCTCTTGTGCATGCAGTGAGCTGTCTTGCTTTTAAAGTGTATGTGAAGGCTAAGTAGGTCTGAGTCAGCACCATTGCTTATATAAATGTATGTATTTAAAAGCAGTGAGGCACAGGGAAGTATCAGAGCAAAACGTGTGCCCAATTGGTCACAATGCAAAAAAGCAAACCACGCAGTTTATTTCACCACATTTAAATTTAGATGTCCACCTCTGATCATGCCTCCTTACGTTAATCTCATGGTTGATAGGAGGAAGTGGCACCTTCAAAGTGCTGTTGAGCTGGCCTGGTTTAGTTTTGTATTTTATAAGAACTAGCACACAGAAATGCTTTCCTTCACCGCCGCCACTGCCTCCTCTTCCTCTTGCTGTAGCCCTCAGTTAGCCAGTGCTGATGACATCAGATGTAATATGTACCTGAATTGACTCATGATTGCTTAGATAGTATTTTTATTGTTTGCATTGGTTGTTGTCTGGGGAAATAATGCATAAATAGATATTGATTATTTGAATTGAAGATGCAGTTCAGTATAAGAAAGTACTGCTGTCATGGGAGAGTGAAAACAGCAGGCACTGGAGCTGCATGAGAGAGGAGGAGGGTCAGGACAGGTGAGAAGAAGACGTGTTGATACTCATGGGGGAAGGAAACTTCAGTGGGGAAAACCAGAAAAGGCAGCAAAAAGTACTTTTGGGAGCAAGGAGACTGAAGCAGGGTGGGGGACTGAGCGCCTTCAAGTCCAGGGAACCACTGCTGGGATGGAGGAAGGCTTGGATGTGGCTGTTTGCAATTAGAGATTAATAGCAGAACAAGGAGGGAGACAAGGAGTGGTTGATTTAAGGCAGTGAGACTGAGCTGACATTTAAGGGACAATAAAGAGGCAGAAGTGGGCAAGAGACCAAGAAGTCACTGGCTGGATAATCAGAGCTTCCTGGAGAAATGTATTAATGAGAGCAATGTAACGATCAACCCTCCAAATCCTTCAGTATTTTCTTGGTGGTAGTTTTGGGGATTTAGTTTAATTTGCCAAATGAACAAACACGAGCTGTTTTCCCATCGTTAGTCAGCCAGGCAAAGAACAGAAAAATATTTTGTGCTTTGGACTGAAAATTTTCATGCTGCTGGCTCTGTGAGGCACTGAGGCTCTGTGAGGTGCTTTCACAAGCAGCTTGAATAGGTGAACAAGTTCTATTTATTTTATCATGGAGCCATCTTCTCAAGAAAGGTGAAAACTATGACTGTAGGAGTTTTAACAGCAGCTTGGGCCTTGGCCTGATGTAGCTGCACCATCAACCTTAGTTAGACAATCTTAACTGAAAGACTGGATGATATATGTTTTCCTTCTGCATGTAGTGCCTTGTTCTGCAATGTCCCATTGACATCATTTAGTGCTGGACATGAAATAAAGGACACCTTTACTGTAAAAAGTGTAAAGTCAGGATTAAGAGGTTCATAGACATACCTCATACATTGGTGAGAGAGGTCTTTGCAGGAGACCTGCAAACATTCACACTGTGTCTGGTCTTTACTTTAAAACCAACCTTTCACTGTGGAAGCCCTCTTTAATAGCTTTGTACAGTTCCTAATTGCATGCTTAATTTTGGGATGAAATCAGGTCTGAAATTTGCACCTGTGCCTTCTGATATGGTTGGGAAAAGTACATGGGCTTCTGAGAGTCAGCACTCACCAATTCCCATTCACCAAACATCCTATTACTCTGCCCTCTTGGCTTGGCAGCTCTTTCGAAGGTTACTTGCGGGAGATACGGACAGCACACCAACCAATATGATTGAATGCTGACACTTTATTGAGCCCGAATAGCTGTTTATATATCCTTTCTACGTGTCCATGCGAACTCTATACAATCCCAGTTGGCTAAGTCCACTAATGCACGCACATAAATACAGCTCCTGATAGGCCTAAGCTTTCAGTAAACGCAAAGCCTTTATCAGTTCAAAAGTATGCAGAGTTCCTTGTTACATAACCGGGAGTTGTTTTTCTCTAGCTAGCTCCCTCATTCCACTGCCGCAAATATTCTTTAAATAACCTTGTCACTAGGCCGTGGTGCCTAACTCAAACTGTTGCTATTGACATGAGTCCTGGATCGCTCCTGTGTCCGTTTTGTTCCAAATAGTACTCCACAATTCCCCCTTCTTTTCTTTGAGTGATCCACACATTCTTAGTATTATCATTAAACCAGCCTTAAATAGGTCTCTTAGCCATCCTACAACACCTAGACTATTCAACCATTTGTCTAAACCAAGTCCTTATATAAGTTAATACATCCACACCGTATACATATGGTATCTATAATTATATCCATATAAAATTGTTGACTGCTATTATAATGAATTACCTTCTTACCACAATACACACAATTAGCTATAAAATACAGAGAACAACGTCTGCACAAAGGACAAGGAAAACGACCAGTTTTGATATTTTTTGTTGGGTCTGGCTCAAGTGATGGGTTCCACCCTCCCATTTATGAATTACTGCTGGATTCTTGCCAAGGTTTCACCCATCGTTCTGGGATCCAGCGGAGTCCCTCACCTGTAAGCAAACACATATATCCCCTACCAGTCATTTGCACTTCAACAGGTCCTTTCCATTGTCCTGTGCTTAAATCTTTATATTGAACCAAAATTTTGTCTTTTCTCTCTAAGTCAGATTTTAATACGCTACTATGAACAATCCTTGGAGGTTCGTCGTGATCTCCTGCTAAGCGCAGATAATTCAATACATACAATGCTTTAGCTATATGTTCAGCTGGTCCCATACCATTTTCCCCCCTTTTTTGTTTTAAGAGCTGTTTTTTTAACGTTTGATGCGCTCGCTCTACAGTAGCTTGTCCTGTGGGAGATTGTGGGATACCTGTAATATGTGTGACACCCGATAATTGACAAAAGTGTTGGAATGTTCGAGAAACATATGCGGTAGCATTATCTGTTTTGATTGATAATGTCACTCCCATAACAGCAAAACAATTATAAAGATGTTTCATTACGTGTCGAGCAGTCTCTCCTGCTTGTGCCGTTGCCCAGATTACCATTGAAAAGGTGTCTACTGTTATGTAAACATATTTCAGTCTACCAAATTCCGGGATGTGTGTAACATCCATCTGCCATCGTTGCAGTGGTTTTAAGCCTCGAGGGTTGACTCCTAAACCAAGTCCGAAGCCTATCTTCTCGCAATCAGGACATGAACTCACAATTCCTCGGGCATCGGCTTGAGTGAGGTGGAATTGTCGTTTTAACATTTTGGCACTTTGGTGAAAAAATTTGTGTGATAATCGAGCTTGTTCAAAACTGTTAAGCAGAGGTCCTGTCCAAGCAGGAGCAACAAGTTGATCCTCTTGATTATTTCCTTCAGCCAGTCCACCTATATCCTGGTGACTCCAAATGTGAATGATAAAATAAGGTTGTTGTCGATTATTCAACAATTGTAAAAGGGTTAGTAACAATACATACAGTCTCTTATTTGTTACTTCTCTTAACACAGAACCTTCTAATCGTCTTACAATACCGAGTACATGCAAAGAATCGGATACTGTATATAAATGCATATTATACAAACCTTCTCTGTACATAAAGCTCTAGCTGCTAGGCTTAAGCACATGGTGAATGGCAAACGAGGTAGCTGAGAGATCATTTCTTCATTCAGATATTCAGTCCTAGGGGTATTGTACCAGCTGAAAATCAGTACTTTTTAATGAGGGCATGACTTAGAGACACTTTTTGAAACAGTGCTTTATTTGGCTGTGAAGCACAACTAAGCTGCATTAGAATCCCACTGGTTAAACATGCACAGTTCATCGTCTCCTGGTGTGGTGTGGTGCAGGAGTTGTTTCTCACACCACCTTTCTTCAAATGCAAATGCACAACAGCCCTGAAGTTAGAGGCAAGACTTCTGGAGCAGTATAAAGGTGAGGAGATTTTAACAGTCTATATACCAAGATAGGGGAATCTCATACTGCTCCCTGATTAGTGCTCACTGGTGCAGAGGCAAGTTTAGCAATATTTAGTAGGTGAATAAAGACGC